CTGCGGCCCCAAGGACGCTGTTGCATCCTCCACAGCCAGGAGGAAATGGCCTGCCTCTTGTAGGCAGGGTCTGTACCTTGAGTTGATTAGTAATTAGTTCATTATCTCAACTCAGTCCAGCTGGGTAATAATGATTGGTTGCCATATGTGCTTGTTTGCAAATTAGAAAAAAAACAAACCTAATGAAGGCAAAAGCCTTCCAGTACAGTAGAAGCTACATTTTCCGACAACTGGGTAAACATAAATGCCAAAATTAATTTCACTGGAGAGTGCAGATATATTCTTAAAGCAACACATGGCACTGCAGTGTTGTAACAGAACGACTTGAACTCGAGAGGCGGAGATGGGTTTTACTCTCCGCACATCTATAACTAAAAGCATCTCCTTGTAGCTCGTTGATGCTTGAGGAGGGTCCATTCAAATTTACTTATTTGAACGGGTTTAAGAGCAGTGAAAGAAGGCTGGGGAGCAACCAGCCATGCTTCTGCCCTGAAAGACTTCTGCAAAACCCCCGGCTGAAATACAACTGGTTTAAGCAAACACTCTCCTGTGAACTTCAGAAGCTGTTGTCCTTCTTCAGCAACCTGAAAGGTGGCAAGTGCCACCAGAGCATCTGTGCCACGTGGATGTTGACCATAAAGATGATCTCTGAGCCGTGGCTCAGGACAAGGTGACCCTCAGCACCAGTGTCAACTGCGGAGATGCTGTTTTTAACCGATTCCTTCCTTTCCTCTTTCCTCCACAGTGCCAGATTTTGCGAGGGTCCAATCCTGGCCGTGCTGCGAGGTCAATGGGATGCTGCTGGTCTGGTACCACTGCGAAGGGGTCGGTCCGACATGGGCAGTGCCCGAGCAGCGGGAGATCACCACCAAAGAGTGGGTGTTCCGTGGGCAGACGGAGCACTTTGTCAACGCGCACATCCAGGTACGGAGCCCGGTACCTCCGCGGGGCAGGTCCACTCCTGGAGCCTCTCCTATAGTCCAGTTCAGGGACATCTCCTCCCACTTAATCCATTCAGGGACATGTCCTCCCAATTTGCCAGGCCCTGCCAGTGCCCAGTGCCACCGCTGCTGCTGGCAGAGCCTAGACCTAGAAATACATCCCTGTGCCATATACTGACAGTATGGCATATGTTCCCCAAACGCGGATCGTGGGCTTCTTGAGCATTGAGCAGATGCTCTGGGTACTTAAAGGGAATCTGTTAATTTGCTTTGACTTATAACTGATGTAATTTAAAAAAAGATTCTCTAAGAGTTGCGGCACTTAGTGCTGGGAGGCTTTTCAACTCATCGATCACCGAAATGGAAGCACGCGGTTATTTTGCTGTTAATCTTCATAATCACCATCACACGCTGACGAATGTGCCACAGAGAACAAAATGGCTGTTGCCTCCGTCGTCTCAGTGGAAATGAGTCTGGAAAAAGGGACTCGTTTTGTGGCACTAAACAGAAGGGACCGTGGTCCTTGGAGGGAGCTGGGGGCAGCCGCGGTTGGGGACTCCTCTGGGAGAGTGATGGGAGGCAGCAGCAGTTTTGAAACCTGGAGGTCCTTGGGAGGTTTTCATACCCTCCCCACCGAGCAGAACACTTCTCTTTGTGAAAATCAGTGACAAAAATGACCCTTAATCTAAAGCGCCCTTCTCTGCAAGGGCAACGCCTGCCCGCTGACTAAATCACGGTGAAGGTGAGTGGGCTTGGAAGAAATGAAAAGTTATTAGAAGAAATGAAGGAGGTGCATGAGACACAGGAGATATGGCTCTGGGCATGGGCAGAGATGTGAGAAGCAGGGAGAATTTGGGAGATTGAAGGGATAGTGACATTTATTTCATCTCTGCTTTTCAGTGCAAGCCACTGCACGCGCGTCTGTCCTGGGGCCGGTCTGTGCCGCTTGCCGAGGTGGTGGGGAGATGGTGTGTTTGAGTAATAAAGCAGTTAAAGCTTCTGAAAAAGTGACACTCTGGGCAGGCTGGTGGGGTTTAAAGGTTTAAAAGTATGTGAAAACTAGTCTGGGAGCACAAGCACAAAAATGCTTTATCCCTTACAGTTACTACAGGGCCAAAGGAAGGACTTATTTGGAGTTCCAGCCTGCAGAAGTTAACAGGCATAGACTTCTTTGAGCTTAAAATGAACTCTGAATTTTCAGAGCTTTGTGTTCAAATTATTCCTACACACTAGTTAAGAACTAGTCCTGAGTCAGTCGGTGCTGAGGCCCCTTCCTCCACGCACTTGCTTGCCTCTTGCTGGGTCACCTACCCGCGAGCATCTCTGCTGCGCTCGGAGCGACGTGCCCTGGGCTGCGCCTCAGTGCTAGTGCGACACTGCCACGAGCACAGGAGCTCACACCCCAGTCAGCTCTCACCAACAGCAAATTGTTCCCCACGGGCAGGAAATCCCCGAGAACGCAGCCGACACGGCTCACCTGGCTTTTCTCCACGGACCAGCTATTCTGGGCGGATCCGATCTGAGATACACAAGGTCCAAACTGTGGGATTTTATGAAGCACATCTGGAAGGTAAGACCCTGGTTCCCCTCTTAGCCATGAGGAGGTTGAAGTCTTTCAAACCAGGTCCCTGTTCTGCCGTGAAGCATCAGTCCCACCTCACCGCCTCTGCCACATCCTCCGTCTTCAGGTCCACTCTCTTACCTGTGTCTCTGTGGGTTTTAGCTGCACCCTTCATCTGTGCTCACCTGTAGATAGTTTTCACAGCCAACTCTTGTCACCATCTGGCTGCCACCTCCCCTCAGCCTCTACTCCTGTCTCCCTGTCTCTTGGACTGAGCTGATCCTTCTCCACCTCTCCAGGCAGAGTGGCGGCCAGAGCCGGCGCCCAACGAGCATTGCTCCCAGATGCTGGTTGAACACACCGCAACCATCTTCGGGAAGCACATCTCCTTGATGGATTTGAAGGTTTTGGCCAGGCAGGTACGTCCCATGCTGGTGACCACCAGCACCCCAAGCTGAAGGGTTTTGTCACCCAAAAGGCTGAGTGAGTCTGTGCCCATCCTACCCAGTGCAGCCTTTCCTACCGAGTGCACCAGACACATGGGCCAAAACTACACACTGGGACTGGGGCTGCTGCACAGCTGGACAGCACAGGGAAGAGGGAGAGTTTGTAAGGACTGCTGTGCCCCCAAAATACTTAAAAAAAATTAAAAACCCCAAAATAGCTAGCACCTGTGCAGGCACTGATGACAATCCCAAGGGACCTTCACACCATGGTGCCACAGCTCTGCAATGCAGCAGGGTGGATCTCTTCAGTCCATGGCGAACACGCCTGGGAAAGGCCAACAGTCAGAAACAGCGTGTCTGGTAGCCCAAGATCAGCCTTGAATGAGAAAAAATAGATGACACAGATTGATAAAGAATTAAAGGAAGATCGAAATAATGCCACTGAACATGAATCAATGGGAACTGGATATTGGTTTTGGTTGTGGGTGTTTTTTTTTTTTATGAAATGCTAAGCTTGCCTGATAAAACGAGTAACTTTGTTCTAGTACATTTTTGAAGGCATCTGACCTACTCCGGTATGACAAATTCAGAACAACAGCAAAACAAGTCATGATGCAAAACTTTGCTAAGGACTAGATCTCGCGTAGTTAGGGAATTATCACAAAGTGGATGTTGACTGTATCTCTGGTCAGTTCTTAGATCTGTGCTGTTTAGCACTGATACCAGTGAACAGGAGAAAATAGACACTCAAATTACCTTACAAAAAGTTTGTAACCAAACATTAAAGGAAGTAGTAAATAAAGTAGCTGGAAACCCAACAATCTGCACTGCCTCAAAGAACCAAGCGTATGAGCACGCAGCTGTGTGCCTGGATGCACGTCGAAGACCAAAACGGTCTTATAAATCAGCTAAAACCTGGTGTGACTGTTGTAGCTGGGAAGGAGAGAGCCAGAGCAGGAGTAGGGATGCTGTGTTTCCTCCAGACTGTATTGCAATCACTGCTACTGAGATGTGGAGCCCAGGACTGGAGTCAACAGTGCAATAAGGCTGTGGATGACCTGAAGGAAATTCAGTGATGAACAACAAGACCAAGTGAAAATTTGGAAGCATTTCCTAGAAGATTAGATTTTTAAACTTTTGGGGACCAGCAGAGTACTGTAAACCCTCATGAATTCCTGTGGGCCCACACCAGAGCCATCCAGCCCCAACGCATCTGTGAATGTCCCAGGCCAACATGGGCTGCCTGGCTCTGCTGGATTTCGCCCCCACCCTGGGAAGCATTAACAGTTGGCAAACAGCCTGTGACTCATGGCCTTGAGGTGTAGTTTGACTTTGTCCCTATTATTTGATGAAAGACAGAGTAAAGGAGGATTTGAGCACAGCCTAGGAGACATCTCCATCTGGTCTCAGGCTGTGGGAGGTGCTGTACCAGAGGGCTGGACCACTGGGGACAGCTCCCTGAGGGTGCTCTGTTGGTCTGCAGGTGGGACCAGGGCTGGTTTTCCTCATCTTTGAACACGCTTTCCTTGGCCATGGGATCATCCTGCAGACGGTGACTCCCCTGGAGCCTCTCCTGCAGAATGTTGTCCACAAAATCTACTACCAGAAGAACATGCCGGCCATAATCCCCAAGTTCATCCTGAGAGCAGAGTGCATACAGGTAAGGCTTGTGAAGAAGAGCAGCCAAAGATAGTCACCTGGAACTGGGTGGATGAGAGGTATGAGAAGGAAGAGCAGTTGCCCATGGAGGCTCAGATATATAGAATCATAGCATCATAGAATGGTTTGGGTTGGAAGGGACCTTCAAGATCATCTAGTTCCAACCCCCCTGCCACGGGCAGGGACACCTTCCACTACACCAGGTTGCTCAAAGCCTCATCCAACCTGGTCTTGAACACTTCCAGGGATGGGGCATCTACATTATGTGGGAGCAAAGCACTTGTGGGCAAGATCCTTCCAGTGCTTGGCATGATCTTTCAGTTTTAGGAGACTAAAGAGCTAAACTGGACGTTTAGTAAAGAGGGTCCCTGCAGTGACTTATCTGTTGAGGATGGCAGAGAGGTGTTATCCCTGTCCTGTGAATGGGGAACTGAGGCACAAGGATTAGGCAACCTCTCCCAGACTGCAGGAAGTCTTTGAGAGAACTAATAATCGCACTCAGATTTCCAGCATCCCAGGTTGGTGCTTTAAGATCATCCTATCTCCTCCAGTGAGAACTGAGCCAAGAAATTATCCTGCTGTTAAATGCTCATGAGATTGGGCAATTCCTGATGAAAGTTTTCCAGATCCTTACCACAGGGATTCATGGAAATGGCGAAAGGTCCCTCTGGAGTTCTCCAGCCCAATATCCCAGTTGGAGCAAGACTATTGCCAAGATCAGGTCAGGCATGGCCTTGAAAGTCTTCTCCTTTGAAGAATGCACCCATCTCTCCAGCTCCCTGGCTGACCTGTTCCATTGTTGCTCTACCCACATTGCTAATTTTTTGTTTTAATGACCATTTTGAACTTCTCAACCTGCAATCTGCGGTTGTTACTCCTTGTAATACCAGCTGACACTACCAAGAGAAGCCTGACTCCCTCATCCCTGTAACTCCCTTCAAGGAGTCAGAGGAGCTCAGGTCATTCCCTTCTGTCAGGGGTTAAAGTTTGGAAACTGTTTGGTCTGACCAGAGAGAGTTTCACTGGCACTACAGCAAAAATTGCCAGAAGATTATTTTCAGATGCCAAAAACCCCAAATCAAACTTGGCCGTGCTGACTCGTGCTGTATAAACGCTGACTTACTGTTCTGCATTCTTACTAACGTGAATGAGCAGCACTCACTTCCGCAGGGACCTCTTCCCAGGGGAAAACTCCATAAATCTTACTGCATGTGTGTCTGAGCAGAGTTTAAGATGCAGATGCTTCATTTATAAACCCCTGGTTGGCTGGAGCTACGCAGCGAATCAAAAACCCCAGGTGGAGCAGCTCCTACCTGCACAACATCCATTTCTTTTCCAGTATGTCCTATGACAAAGGTTGTCTAAGACAAAAGTGGCTTCTGGTTTGGGGGCTATGGGGGGATAAACATCTCCTAACTGCAGAGCCATAGCGTTGCACGCGCAGTCCCACACTGGCCATTTGGGGAGAAACACTAAAAAAAACCAAACCTGGTGTGCAGGTAGCACCCAAAAAACTGCTGGTTCAGCTTCCCCACCTGAACGAGACCATCCTTCTCCCCCCAGTTCGAGCGCGATATAACCATCTGGAATAACAAACAGTATCTGTCCAAGCCGCTGCTGGTCAGAGAGGACTCCAGCATCCAGAAGCACCGGCGCTGGTATGCCCAGTTCTACAGTGAGAAGAGCACCAGGCTGCTGGCGCAGAAGGAGGGTCTGGACTGGTGAGGACCTCGCTGCCCTCTGCAGAAGGTGGCCAGAGGCTCTCAGGTGGCTCCTTCCCACCCTGGCTGGTGGGCAGTGGTGCTGGGCAGGTGTGATCGATAGAACAGATACTGGCACTGGCACAGGGAGCAGAGCCTGAGCCCCAGGGATCCTCTTGTACCTTCTGTGTTCGGGGCACCAAAGGGTGTACCACGCTCTTGTCCCTGTGCTGCAACGTATGAGCTGAGCGTGAACTTAAGGGTGCCAGGACTGCCTTTGGAGTGCCTTTGTCTCTCGCTGCTGCTATCGTTTTGAGTAGCTCTATGAAAAGCTTTTCATGTGGCTCTTTATTGCCTGAAGTGCCCTTCCCCAGCCAGGCCCACTCCTGCTTCCGCACCACCGCTTTGGCTGGGGCAACCTTCAGCTCTCCAGGGCAGCCCTGGCCGATGGCTGCGTGGCACCAGAGGTGTGGCTGCAAAGCCCACAGACACGTGCCGTCTTCCTTCTCCCTGGCAGCAGGCAGGGCAGCATGGGTTGAGCTGCCCACTGTGCCCTGACCATCCCCGTGAGCTTCCTCAAGCCTGCTGAGCTTTTGCAGGACTCAATTCCTCATGGAGCACCTAGTTGGGAAGCAGAGGCAGTATCCAGGTGATCGAATCACTTTGACCACTCTGTAGGTCAAGGAAATGAATAAGATCCTGCCTTGGTAGCTCCCGGATTCCAGCAATACCCTGGGTACACGGTTGGCCGTAACTGATCGTGTCCCAGGGCAAGACCGTAGGTGTCACTGTCACCGCGGGCAGAAATGAAGGTAACACATGGAAACGAGGCTGCAAACCTGCCCCAAACTGGTCTAGATTCTCCTCTGCTTCGTGGCTGGATGCTCTGTATTGGAGGGCTAAATCCTGCCTTGCTGCGTACCCCGGAGGAACCCGTCATCCCCACAGCCAGGGCCCGTCCCGTGCCGTCGGCGGGACTCTGGCAGTTACTCTGTGCCAAGAGCAAGTTCGAGCAAATGCTCAAATGCAGGAGCTTTCCAAGGAGGCTGGTAGCTGCTGCTCTCACGTGTGCCGTGCGCTTGCCTGTGCCTTGTCAATCCTGCACTTGGTCTGAGGCTTCTGGTTCCTCCTTCACCATTAACTCCTAGAGCAGGAGCTGGGGGCAGGAACATGCCATCGGAGCCCTCTGACAGTGCTGGGTCCATCGCCCACCCTGGCAGCATTTCAGATACCAGCAGCTCTGCCTTTGCCATTCACATCTGGCTATTGCACTGTCAATATTTCACTAATAAACTTTTTAAAAAAATCGATCTCATCTTCACCGTTTGGTCTTTGCTGTTTTGTGGGGTGTTCTTGCATGGGAGCAGCAATTCTGCAGGTGGCCCACACTGTCCTGCTTCAGGAGCCACAGAAAATCTCCAGCAAGGAACTTCAGGAGATGGCAGGAGCTTGGACAAGGAGTGTTGCCCAACCCAACAGCCTCAGCCTCTCAGGGACCTGAGAGCACTAATATGGCTTAGTGGCCCTGACCACCTCACCTGGGGCATTCGTCCACTCCCTGCCCTTGCCCCAGGAGCCCCATTTCAGCTCAGCTCTGGCTCTTCAGTCCCTGCCCTGAGCTATCCTGTAGGAGGTCTCCAGCTCAGCCACAGACATGCCCATGCCTGGCTGACCTGGACTCTGACCACAGACTGACTTCCCAGCTTGACTTCCACCCTGTCCCACCACAGTGGACCTGCCCAGTGATTGCTGGGCTGCGTCTGACCATGGCTACCCTCACCAGATCCCGATCCCAAGCTGCAGATTGACTTCCCAGCTTGACCTCAGACTTGCCTCATGACCAGGAGCTTGCTCGGTCATCTGGACTCTTGGTTGAGCCTGGCCATGACCTCTGGTCCTGCCCTGCCTGTCCCACTCAGCGGTGGTGTGACCCCACCTTGGCTTCCAGCACCCCATTCCTTAGGGAACAGCCGCCTTCGCGGTAACAGGTGATGGAGCAGCAGCAAGAGGCAGAAATTGCAACTTACAGTACGTAGAGAAGGTCAAGGCGTACAGTTCACCCACACGTTCAAGGGGACACATGGCCACCACACCCCCCCATGCACACACGTGCACAGGTGCAGGGGCTTTACCTGCACAGCACACGTCCAGGGCTGCTGCGCAACACGCCGGGGCTGCTGGTCCCCGCTCCGCACTGTACTCCCACGTACAGGACCTCAGGATGAACGAAACTCCAAGGAAGGCAAATTGTTGAAGGTCAGATTAGAGACAGTGGGTTAAATTAGCTTTGCTGGGTTCACCAGTCCTTCTGAAATGAGAGGAAACTACGGGATACCTCCAGCAGAACCTCAATTCTGAGCCACCGTTTCCTTTATTACTAAGGGTGAAGTAGTCGTGGCCCGTTAAGGCAGAAATCAGAATTGGGAAATAAGACAGGATTAGCTTAAGCCTCTTACGGTGCCGTTTATAATCTTATTTATCCTTTTAAACGGGTCTAGCAAAAAGTACAACTTCAGTGCTGGGAGACACTGGCGTGCCAAGGACCCCTGTCCGCCAGTGTTCCACACGTAACATTTAGATTTTCAAGCAAATCCTACCTCCTACCTGGGCAGGATGTGAGGGCATCAAATCTCACTGTTCACCAAAATCACTTCACATCAGATCTACTGCAAAGCCTCAGCCATTCTTACTATTAGATTCTGACGGTTTATTTATTATCGTGGCTTGTCTTCACACTGGACTACTAGCCAAGAGAGTTTATCCAACTGGCAGACCTATAGTCATTCCACGCCTTCGGGTTTTGTTTTTTTCCCAGCTAACAAACTCACTACAAATTTCCTAATCCCCAAGTAGTTATTTTTTGGAGGGGGGTGAGGGGTGAGGTTAGAAAACTCCAAAGGATATCAAAACAGGTCAAAGAAAAGGATACCCATGAGGGTGATGGACAACATACCTTGGATTTTCCAGTGGTTGACCTGGTCTTCTCCTCCTTTGAACCCTGGTCTGTGTGCTTGTTCCACTAGGGACAATTCCCCAGTCGTTTCTGGTTTGTTTGGAGGTGGGTCCTGGAGGTCCAAACAGCACCAGCAAAGCTGCCAGTGACCCCCATGGACCACCGCATCCTTGTGACCCCGCGACACTTCGATGCAGGTCAAGACTGACACAGCCTCTGAGCAGATTCCTGTCCCCTTCCCGTATTTCGGCTGTCATTATACAGCTGCCGAGGTCCCCGTCCTGTGGAAAGGAGTGAGCCTGCCCAGTGCCTGCCCAGTGCCTGCCCAACGCCCACACACCTCTTCTCCTGCGGAGAAGGCAAGTTTGGACGTGGAGCTGCTGACCTAAGTGAAAACCTCCGCCCACGCTGGGCAGAAACATGGTATGTGTGAGTCGAGAGCGTCTTGCCCAGTATCAGCTTGGGCTGCTTTAGCAGCATAAACCAGCTGATCCGAATCCATCCCGGTGGTGTGAATACACACGCTGCATCACAACACGCCAAACCCTTCCAGTTGGCCAAGCAGACCTGGTTAATGTTCTGCTACATCTACATGTCTCACTGGTGAGAGGAGCAGGTTCACCGTGCTGGCAACCAAGCGTGAGACAGAAGATGCTCTGGAAAATGCTTCAGGGAGCTTTGGGTGCCCCGGGGATGCAGGGAAGAGCCCACTGTAGGGTGTTACAGCTGATAAGGTCCGTCAAAGAGACTGCTGTGGAGATTTGGGTCACTTTAACGGATCCTTTCCCTCTTGGCAGCAAGACACTCTGCACTGGGTGATGTCCCGTTCACGTGCGTGAAAAACAGAAAAACCCAGACACTTTTTTTTTTTTTCCTAAAGGTTGTTTTATTGTAAAACCATAAATACAACACTGACATGAAAATCCTCAAGCAACGGATGCTTTCTTACAGTTACAGTTTGTCTTCTGCCTTGGCATCAACTCTGAAAAGAATGTTGCAGAAACATGTCTCTAAGATATCTCCAAATAACTGAGCTCTGGCCTGGAGTGCTCAGCTCGTTTGGAAGCTAAGTGGAACTATTCCTCCTCTCTTGTGGAATATTTCCATTCAGACAGCAACAGACTTGTAAAAACAGCAACATTTAAACACCTTGATTTTTTTTTTTTTCTTTAATAATCCTTTTCATTTGACGTCAGTCTAAGTTTCAAACAGCACTGAACTTATTTAGCTGTAAAAAAACCAAAACGAAACAAAACAAAATCCTAAAAAGGAAAAAAAAAAAACCAAAACAAAACAGAAGAACTTGAGTTGGCCTCAAGAGTTCATATATCACAATGAAAATCAGCAACTCAACCCCGTGCAATATTGCTCTCTATTGAGTCATTCGATCCACACCAACAATACATGAGACTTCAAACAGGTTTTGTTTTGTTTATTAACACAGCAAGTGTGACATTAGATAACCTTTTAAATACAGTACATGGTACAGCGCGGGGCCAGCTGCCCGCGCTTTTCCTCATTATGAAGACAAAGCCAGCGGTGGCGGTTTATAAAAATATTGTGTTGCTACAAAAGTATAAATTAATGCTACCGGTATTAAGAAATATTAAACACATAAAACTTATAAGGATTAAGAAAAATATTCATTAATACCTGTAGAAAACTCTGGCCTAAAAAAGATATTTTTTTTTTTGTATATTTTTTGTATATTTTTTTTTTTTGTATTTTTTAAGATGACATGAGATTCTTGCACTCGCAGGTAGAGACACACGCAGGTGCATCTGTGGTATTGCCTCGAACATCTGCATCTACAGAAAGGAAGGAAACGCACACGAGTTACTGAGGGGAGGGGGGTGAGGAGGGAAAGGAGAACATTAATCGTTTGCTTGATGAAACAACGAGAATTCAGCTCCCAACAGGAGGTTTCGAAAAACGAACGCACGAACGAGGAACAGCTTCTCTTTTCAGACTGGCTGCAAACAAGGATTTCCCGACGGTTTGGTTTGTCGGCACGACACTTCTCCGCACGATGCGCGCTCCTCCTGTACTCACAGCCTGGGCTAGTCACCTCT